GGAATAAACTATTTATATCATAAAACCATTAAAGGTTAAAAAACAGTAAGGTAAAGATAAAACATTAAAATATTATTTTGCAAAAACAAAAGGAATAACTTTTTAATTTTAAAATTATTTATATGTAGACTTTTGTAGAGAAGCGCAGAGATTACTGTGAACTTGCGGAAAAAATCAGACCATTAGGTGAAAATTAACAAATATGGAACTGTTTCACACACCTTGAATTTTAAGAAATTTAAGTTGCATTATTCTAAACTCTGGCAGGTTTCCATTTCCGAGGAATCGCGGTTTTTGACCTGCGACTTTTCCGATTCTGCATTTTTAAAAGTAAAACTTAATTTCATAAATTTTGATATTTTAGTCTTATTATTTGAGAGTAGTTTATGTCATAAAGTAACAAACTGCTTTAAAACTATGGTTTGCAAAATGATTTTAAATAAGATGTAAAATACAAAAAAATAACTCTAAACCAATTTTTTTTTCTAATGATAGACTTTTTTTTAAATCAGCAGAAATATAATAAAAATGAAATCAATAGAAATAGCACTTTGATTTTATCTAGTTAAAAATAAATGTAATAAATATTTAGCAATGTCATTTTTAATCTTATTCTATCTGCATTGCATTATTTTTAACTTACACTCTTAAGATCAACAAGACTATTGGCAAATATATATTGAGCCTGCTGCAGAGGTGAAATTTAAATCATGGCAAAACCTTAGAGGTGCTTGGTGCTGGCGTTAGCATCTTTAAAATTATTAAAAAAATAAAATTGTAAAAACTTCTGTATTCAAAAACAAAGGGAAGTCCGAAAAAATGTAAAAACGGATGATCAAAGCTGAAATATTTCTAAATGCAGTTTTTGTTAATAAAGACCAGCCACAAGGCTTGAGTTGTATATTTTACAGATTACTGGTTAATTTTTAATATTCTAAGTCATAGTTTAAAAAATTCCTACGGATGAGTGTCCCTCAAACTTTTAAAATCTTTCAAAGTTGCTAACAACTCATCAGAACTTACAGCAAAACCTTAAATCTATTAAGCATAGTTTAAGAAAATAATTTCTCAAAACAAGAAATACATTTCTTGTTTTTAAAAATAAATTGCAGGGTAGGATATTTATTTCTTAAAACAAGAAACATATTTCTTGTTTTAAGAAAAATATTTTGTAATAAAAAATTGCTTACAGTAAAGTTTAATCAAGATAATGTAGATAAAACGTGTGATGAGCTTGGAGAAGCTTCAAAAGCTACTTCAAATAAAAAGTTCTTGTAGAAAACCTTTAAAAATCCAGCATTTTTTAGTGTTTAAGATAGCTAACATGGAGTGAAATCTAAACATTTTTATGTTTATACTTAAGTCAATTAATGATACTTTTTAAAAAGTTTCAATGACAGGAGGCTGGGAACATAAAAACCCTAAAATTTTATCCCCCGTACCCCAAACGTGAAAGCAACAAGTTGATGAAATAAATTTTTTGCTTTTTTTAACTAAACTTATATTCATCTATAAATTTAAGTATTGTTTTACAATCTCTAAGTGTTCAAAAATTATGACTATATAAAATTTGTTACCCCCTTAAATTGAGGGGGGTTAAACTTTATATGGTTATAATTTATGAACTCTGAGAGATATTACTATGAAACTTGAAACTTATCAATGAATATAAACAAAGTTAAGAATTTCAAAAAAATTATTTTACCAACTTGTTGCTCTCACGTTTGGGGCAGGGGGATAAAACTCTAGGGTTTTTTTAGTTTTCAGCCTCCAGTCATCGCAATAATTTGCAAAGCACATTATTTGACATATTATTTGATAACAAAATGAGGTAAAAATCATAAAGTTTGTTGTATGACAGGAAAAAAACTTAAAGATAAACAAAAAATCACTTTACACTAGCCAAAGAGTTAATTTATCTATCGTTATCAGTGTAAGATAGGCACAACAATCTTAATAATTAATAAGCACAATGTTTTTTTTTTGGTACAGGAAAACTGTTGAACAAATTAACTGGATTTGACATCAGAATCTATTTACGCCAATGCTTGGAAATTGCCTTAAATTTAGTCAAAAATATTAAAAAGCGTAAATTCGAACAATCAGCGCGAATACTTCTATCAAGAAAAATTAAAGAAATATAAAAATTTTAAAAATATAAAAATTTGCTGCTCATTAGCGACTCCACATAAAAATTGATTGTCTAAAAAAAATTGTGGAATGGGCTACTGTGCAGCCCTATTTTAAAAATTTTATCAATATTTTTCATTGAAATAAAGACTTTGATTTAAATATTTAAATTTTTTACAAGAACTCTTTATTTGAAATAGCTTGTGAAGCTTCTCCAAGCTCATCACACGCTTTATCTACATTATCTTGATTAAATTTTACTGTTAGCAATTTTAATAGGTATTTTTTAATAAATTCAACTGTGATGATATCGATAGGACTGTTAAAAGACATAAGTCTTAAATAAAATATAATAAAAATGTTTTGTTACCTGCATATTTAGGTGAGACACAACTCTATCACTGCTACTTCTAAAATGATCTTTTAAAACAGCTTCAACAGGGCGTCCACCTTCTAGCACTTTCATCAAGCGAGAAATTTCTTGATCACGAAGTTCTACCTAGATTATAAATTTCTAAATATCAGTACTTTCCTTGAGAACTATTTTCCAGTTGCTGCTAACAAAAACTGAATTAGAAATACTCTAGAAAATTTAGTAAAAAATATTAAAATGTCATTATTATCATATAGTTATTAAAGCAGGGTCAACAACACTGTTGACCCTGCTTTAATAACTATATGATAATAATGAAAACAACAAAAAACATATATATATATATATATATATATATATATATATATATATATATATATATATATATATATATATATATAACCCTCGGAAAAGTGTTTGAGGTCGGCAAAAAATTGCCGACCTTGTTTCTATGTTTTATTGTCAGACCTTTATATCAATATATATATATATATATATATATATATATATATATATATATATATATATATATATATATATATATTAATTTCAGAAATATTACAGTGGTAGGATACAGCCGGTTCAAACCGATTCGGTAGAACCACTTCCTTAAAGTTTTGTAGTTTGCCAAACCGATTGTTAAATGATATTTGTAGCCATATTTATCTGATTATTTCATAATATTCATTGTAAAATAAAGTAAAATAAAAATCTGATTATTTCATAATATTCTTTGTAAATTAAAGCGTATTTTCATTCCGATACATTATATAATAACTCTTTATTTTATGTAACTCTTTATTTTACCCATGTATGAAATAATACTAGTTTTGGTATTTAAAAATATTTACTACTTTTTTTTTCGCAGTTGCACACAGAACTATTTGAAACCTACCACTTAGACATTTATAAAACTTTCTATATTCTCTAATAAAAAAATTTAGGACAGATGGTTACTATAAATAGATAGAACAGACCTCATTTTTGAGACTTGAATATCTCTTTTCTAAATCCTCATTCTTTTTCTGAATTTTTGCATTCTCTTGTGTTAACTCTTCATTTCTTGAATCAGCCATCGTTAAAAGATCAGCTACATATGGATCACTAGATATTTCATTATTTTTTTTAGAATTAATTTCATTTGAAATAGATAATGTACTATCAATATCCATTCTTGGACGTCTAAAAGAAATATTTTTTTTCCCACCTGGGGTTTCTACAACAGCATTCATACTATTTTGTAACAACTTTTCAATATGATCACTTTTATGTTTAGATTCTTTCTCTAGATTCTTAATTGTTTGGATATACTGAGAATTTAAAAACATTAAATCTTCATTTTGATTTTCAAGTCGCTTAAGTGTTTCTTTCATCTCAGAGGTTAGATTATTAATTTCACTGTTGGCTTTTAAAAGTTTTAAATGAAGCTCATTATTTTCTTGCATTAACTTTGCATTATCGACTCTGTAAGGTTCACTGTGATCAATAGAATCAATGTTTTTTTCTTGCTTATGTTTTTTAAATTTGTAATTTTTAAAGCTTTCAGTAGTGTGTATCAAATCACTAAACAATTTTTCAACCAAAGGAACGGATTCAATTCCTAACGGTTGACGATAACCAAACTGATCTAACCTCTTTCTTAGATTGACAAACTTTTGCTGTGCCATGATTATCTTAAAAAAAACACACACACATTTATTTTTATATTTATTCTAGTCTATTATTATCTATTATTAAAATAGTATTAAAGCAGTGTTATTAACTATTTAATTTATAACATAGTATTTAGAAAATATTAAAACAATAACAAACAAACAAAAAATACTGTTTTTTTTTTTTTAACTTTCAAAAAACGAGCTTTATTTTCTTTTTAATAAGTTATTAAATTGGCATAAAATTTGATTAAATAAAGTAATTTATTTGTACTATTTAGACTATGAGGAATATAACAAATTAAAAATGCACATTTATTTTAACTTATTGTTTATATTAATATTAAATTTAATTACATTAAAACTTAATACTAAAGTGCTTGACTACTAGTTAAAGTTCATCTTGCTTATTATTTTTTATTTATTTTATTACTTTAAACTCTTTAATTTTTTATTATACTTTTTCCTAATTTAGTTTTATATTTGTTTGTCTAGTTTGAATACAATTACTAACACCAGGAGATAAACAGATATACTTTGATTAATTTAAAACCAAACAATTAAATGCATATTAATTTAACTCACTATACATAGACTACATTATTTTAGAGAATAGATATTTTAATCACACTAAAAATGTTCCAATTTGTAACAAAGTATACTATTCTTTGACTATTTATACTGCATAGAGAGTCATATAAAGTTATTACATGTAATTTACTAAATACTATAATTATCCATTCTAGTACACACTAATAAGGAAAACAAAAATTGTGGCAAATAACAAATGTTGTTTTTTTTAATGTAAATCAGATTTAAAAAAATTATTAAAAACAGGCCAAGTATGATAAATAGATAGTTATTAGTTATAGCATAATAAAATTGGTATTCTAATTTAGGTCAAAAATGTGAGATATATCGAATTTTCGCGCGTTGACTATATATAACCATTGGGGTATTGATGACGTCAAACTTTAATGGTCAAAGCTCCGCTATATCGCAAATCGGGAAGCGAATTAACATAAGTGCGAATTGGCATAAGTGCGCCGAATAAATTTACAAACATTGGCATAAGTGCGAATTGGCATAAGTGCGAATTGGCTTAAGTGCGAAACAGTTACAAATACCCCGTTCACACTAAATGCTGTTTTAAACTAAACTGGTTTTAAAGGAAAACCAGTTTTATATTAAAACACGTTTTCAGTTTTTTTGCGTTCACATCAAACGTTTTAATCTCAACATTAAAAATGGCGTCCTCAAATAAAATCTTGATCTCTAAATTAAGAGTGTTCTTGTATATATTAAGAAAAAAAAAAGAATGCAATTACAGCACATATTGATAAACTGTATCCGTGCTTATAATTATTCTATTCACAGAAGATTTTGGACTAAACCTCGCAGTCAGCACTTTTGGTACAAAACTTTGTCGTTCTGTTGGAACGACGACGATTGGATTCAAAACATAAGAATTTCAAAAGCAGGCTTTAACTATCTATGCAAGGAAGTTTCAATTTTTATGCCTATGCAAAAAACTAATTTTCGGAAATCTTTGCCTATAGAAATAAAGTTAGCTGTCACACTTTACTTTTTAAGTGGATCTGCAGATTACCGGACAATAGGCAACCTGTTTGGTTTAGGAAAATCTACTGTTTGTACAATAGTTCATAAAGTTTGTAAACTTTTTGTTGATAATTTACTGAAAAAATACATTTTCTTACCCTCAAGGAAAGAGACAATAGAGATAATGGCAAGTTTTGAAAAACTATATGGTTTTCCACAAGTAGTTGGAGCAGTTGATGGGTGTCACATTAGAATAAAGGCTCCTTATAAAAATTCAGAGGATTATATAAACAGAAAAGATTATCACTCCATTATATTACAGGGGTTCGCAGATAGCAAGTACTTATTCAGAGATATTTTTGTTGGGTGGACTGGCAAATCTCACGATTCAAGAGTTTTTAAAAATTCTCCTTTATATAAAGAGTGTCTAGCCAGAACCTTTTTACCAAATAACTTAAACAAAATAATTGAAAATATAGAAATTGGTCCTCTTATTCTCGGTGATTCAGCTTATTCCCTTGAAAATTGGCTTATGAAACCCTACTCAGATCGTGGAAATTTAAGTATAGAAGAAGCCAAGTTTATCGCTTCACTAAGTAAGTGTAGAGTTGTAATAGAGAATGCATTTGGAAGATTGAAAGGTCGATTTCAATGTCTTTTGATGATACAACAGTTTCAAAAAGATTAGATACAACACACAGTCAATATCGTTACAACATGTTGTATTCTACATAATTTCTGTACTTTGACAAAACAAAATTTTTTAAATGAATGGATTAAACAAACAGAAATTGACTTAGTAAACCCTCTATTAAACCACAGTTGCATTGAAATTGACAATAAAGCAGAGTTTATAAGGAGTGCTATAAAAAAACATTACTTTACAAGTAATTAGGTGTAAATGAACTATTAAAACAATATTTAAAAATTTATATTTTTTATCTTGAAAAACAACATAACATTACAAAAAAATAGTTTTAGTTTTTTTTCATTACAATCAAAAATTCAATTTCAGCCCCACTTTTGAGACGTTTAACATCCTTATCATTTCGGATAAGTACATTTGGTAACTTGGTAATCAATAGAGTGGCATTATTTTCAATTGTAAATTCCTCTTTTATTGTGCTTGTAAGTTTTTCTAGAGTCAAATCTGTCAACAAAAATTCTATTTCAATCAAATATATATCTCCAGCTTGGCGAACTTTTAATATAACATTTAGTTCTTGTTCTTTGTGATTTTCTAAAAGGCAATCTAAAATTTTACGATCAATATCAGCCTGTGAGGTCATAAATGTGTTAACAGTGGCATTTATTTGCTCAAACATTACATCACTTCTTGATTTTTTCTTTTTGGATTTTTTAAAGTAAAAACTTTTATCTTTTTTAAACAACTCTTCTGATTTAGAACTTGATGGAACAACTTCAATATCAATATGTTCACAGTTTTTTAACTCATTAACACAATTATTTAAACTATTCAAACGTGCAGTTTCTTCAACTAAAACATTCGTTCCTGAAGAACTTTTCAAAAATGTTGGTAATGTCGTTGGTTTATCACTAAGAACCTTATCAATTTCATCAAAGCAGGAAGGTTTTTTCGAAGGACCAGTCCCACTTGTATTTCGTTTATTATCTAGGTAATTTCGATATGCACTTGTTAATGTGTGAATTCTTGTTTTACACATTTCTTCATCTCTGTCTTCATAACCAGAAGCTTGCAAGTATAGCAAAATTTCCTGCCAAATCTTTTTTTTTCTAAGACAAAAAAAAATACGAAGTTATCTATAGAGTAAAAGTAATATCGAATGTTGTTTTTACATCATAATTAAAGTACTTTTAAGATGTGAAAACACTTTATAACATCGATAATATTAAAATTATTATTAAAAAAAACACTATTGTAAAATATTATTCAAAAACACTATTGTAAATTATATTTAATTAAAAGTTAAGATATATATATTACATCAAAAGATAAGACATTATATATATATATATATATATATATATATATATATATATATATATATATATATATATATATATATATATATATACATATATATATATATATATATATATATATATATATATATATATATATATATATATATATATATATAATATATATATATATATATATACATATATATATATATATGTATATATATATATATATATATATATATATATATATATATATATATATATATATATATATTTATATATTTATATATATATATATACATATATATATATATATATATATATATATATATATATATATATATATATATATATATATATATATATATATATATATATATATATATATATATATATTTACATTGTATGATATACACATTGACATATGTCAATGTATCATATATCATACTTCTCTTAAATTACGCCATCCTTATAGATTATCAACTTATTATTTTAAAATAATATGCATATAATTATTATTTTAATTAATTTAAATGTGTGTATTGTAGTGATTGTTAAAGAAAAATTAATATTTTCTTGTTAATAGTTATAACAAAAAGAGATTCATTTATAATATATGTAGCATTATTTATAAATATATATGATAGCATTATTTATAAATGTATATGATAGTATTATATTAAAAATAAAAATCATTAACATTTATTTTCTTGATCGTTTTGTAAACAAGGAAAAAAATATTTATTTCAATTCGATCCAAAATAACCAAAAAAGCAAACCTTGTGCATGACTTTAACTTTTCTTGAATATTATCTTCAGACCATTTACTAATTAGTATTTTTGTTTCCTCGTCATCCCAATGTCTACCTCTTTTTTTAGATTTAACTTTTTCTTCAGCAACAGTTTTTTCTTCCGCCATTTAAATACTCAGTTCAGGATAATAAAACACAAACAAAACAACCTCACCGAGCTTGTTTTATATAAACGGCTTTTTTCGTCGCGCGTGTAAATTAAAACCAATTTTAAACTTGGTGAGAACAGTAAAATTTTAAACGCGTTTAAAATACAACAGTTAAAACGTGTTTTATCGTCAGTATGAACGGGGTAAAAGACTGGCATAATTGAGAACTGGCAAAATGCTTACTGGCAAAAGTGCGAACTGGCATAAGTACGCTGAATAAATTTGCAAACATTGGCATAAGTGCGAATTGGCGTAAGAGCGAAATAACAATTTGCACTTATACCAATATTTGCAATTTTATTCGGCGTACTTATGCAAATTCGCATTTATGCCAGTTCGCACTTGCCAGTTCGCAATTATGCCAGTCTTTATAACCTTTTCGCACTTAAACCAATTCGCACTTATGGCAAATCGCACTTATGCCAATGTTTGTAAATTTATTCGGTGCATTTATGCCAGTTTCTGTAACTGCTTCGCACTTACCTCAGTTCGCACTTATGCCAATGTTTGCAAGTTTGTTCGGCGCACTTGTTTCAATTCGCACTTATGCCAATTCGCACATGTGCCGTTTTTACAAAATCTTCGCAATTATGACAGTTCGCGCTTATGACAGTTTGCACTTATGCCAATGTTTGAAAGTTCTTTTGGGGTATTTATGCTAACTCGCGCACTTATGCCAATTGGCACTTGTGCCAGTTTTTGTAACTGCTTCGCACTTATGCACACTCGCATATATGCAAGTTCGCACCAACACCATTCGCACTTATGCCAGTTCGCATTTATGAAATTCGCGCTAATTAAGTCGTCGCAAATAAAGTTATGAAAATAATAGGGATGTACCGGAAATTGGTTCCAGCCAGAATTTGTGCTTTTTAGATAAATTTGGTTTTTTTTTTTTTTTAAGATTTGTAACACAGACTGTATAAATTAAATCAAAAAATCATTGTCGCACTGTGCAATGAAAAACTATAGGGAAACCTAGGTAAAAAAATACAAAATTAACAAGTACAATTTAATTTTAGGTAAAGCTACTTTTTAGAGGTCTAAAATAATTTTATTTTTTCGTTTGTTGCGCTCTCGTCAGTTCAGGCTTTTTAAACATTAGGAGTTTTAATTAAGATAATAAAAGAAAAATGGTTGCTGGCCCATGGCAAACCCTTAGCCAATGTAGCAGAACTTATTTGTAGTAGCAAGCTATAAGATAGTCGATGTAGCAACACTCTCTTGTAGCAGTAGGCTATAAGATAATCGATGTAGCAGCACTTTTTGCAACAGGCTACAAGATAATCGATGTATGAACTAAAGTAATTATAATTCTATATGTTTTTATTAAAAAGTCATCTATTTAAGCAAATATATACAAGAAAGCCCAACAAGCAAAAAATTAAATTATTTTATACCGCGCAACTCGATTACAACAAATAAAATTAAGCATTGCTTAATTTTATTTGTAATAATCACTAATGTAAGGATTTCTAAAAGTTTAGAAATATTGTGGTGCAAAAAGAGTTTTTATCCAGTTTTTACCAACAAACGAGCTTTTTTTTCATAAAAAATGTTACCTGTCACTGGAATAGTCTCATTTTTAATGTTTCTTAACTTTTAAATAGTTAAAATATATAGAATGCCTAATACAGTATATATTTCAATTTTAACTTGAATGTAAAAATATAAAACAAAGAAATAGTTTTAAATAAAAATATTATGTAGTTTTGTCTTCATGATTGTTTTTCTTAAGTTTTTCGTAAACCTTCGCTCTCACAATCTGACAGTAGGTTCTAACAGATCTAAAAAAATAAATTTTTTATTTTTATAAAGTGTTGTACCATTTTTTGTTTTGTTTGAATGAATCATAATCTCATAAACATATTTAGAATGAAATTATTTACCTTCAGAAAGCCTCTTCCTTCTTCAATACCAAGTTTGATTGTTTGATTGCTTAAGTTTTCTTCTTTAAGGCGGTTCTCCACTAGTCAAAAAATGTCGCGACGGGCGACATTTTTCGCTGCTCCACATGCGCGAATTAATCAAAATTTTCGTGGGGAAAAACGTGTCAATCTTCACATGAAAACTAAAGCGTTTTTTTGTTTTATTAAAAGTATTACAACTTTGCAATAAAAAAAGATGGAAAAGTTAAAATTTTTACTTCTTCTCAGAAAGATATACATGAATACTTATATATGGCAAAGAGAAAAAAGAAAAAAAGACGTTTTTGGATAAAAAAGGTTTATAACGAGAGAAAGTTAAAGGGGGAATATCAAATTCTTTTTAATGATTTAACACGTTATGATCATGAGATTTTTTTCAAATATTTTCGAATGTCTCCTTCAACTTTTGAAAAACTTTTACAAATTGTCGCGCTTGATATAACAAAAGCTAATACGAAAATGCGTATACCTATTTGTGCACAAGAAAGACTTGCTATAACAGTACGGTATTTGGCAACTGGGGATGCGCACACTACAATAGCTGCTAATTATCGAATGTCACCAACCACTGTTGGTAGAATAGTATATGAAACTTGTAATGCTATTTGGAACAACTTGTTAGGAGAATACGTAAAAGCGCCTAATTCTGAAACTGAGTGGGAAAAAATTGCCAAAGAATTTGAAACCAGATGGCACTTTTCACATTGTGTTGGTGCGATTGATGGTAAGCATGTTCAAATGTTTGCTCCAGCTAGATCAGGATCAAGCTATTTTAACTATAAAAAGACACATAGTATAGTATTGATGGCTGTCTCTGATGCGAAGTACCGTTTTATTTTGGTAAATATTGGTGATAGTGGCAGACAAAGTGATGGAAGTGTTTACAACAATAGTCAATTAGGATTTGCCATAGAGAACAACCTTTTAAAAATTCCAAAAGATTCAAAAATATCTAATAATTCTGATAAAATTATGCCCTATGCTTTCGTTGCAGATGACGCATTTGGATTGAAAAGACACATGATGAAGCCCTATGCTTTTAAAAATCTTTTAACAGATAAACTTATTTTCAACTATAGACTTAGTAGAGCGCGTAGAGTTGTTGAAAATGCCTGTGATATTGCATCAAGTAGATTTCGTGTTTTGCATAAACCAATAATAGCTAATGTTGAAAATGTTATTGCAGTAACAAAGGCTGTAGTTGCTTTACATAACTTTTTAATGACTGAAAATGAAAAACAATAATAATAGTTACTGCCCTTCAAACTATGTTGATCAGGATGGACCGAATGGATTAAAACTTGGTGATTGGAGAAAAGAGGTGCCAAGTATAAATGGTTTAGTTTTTATAAACAATACCTCAAATAACTACTCTGACACTGCAAAAAAAGTAAGGGACTCTTATAAAGAATTTTTTAATCAAGAAGGTGCAGTAGATTGACAATTAGATATTGTAAAGCGAGTAAAATGAAATTAAACAAAAGTTTATTTTGATTAAAGATAATAATAATTAAATTTTCGTTTTTTTATCTTTAAGAGAAAATAAATACAACTAATAAAATACAACTTATAAAATTCTAAATATCTTCATATTCAACTCCAAATTCTATTTCAAATAAAAGTTGATTTATTTTTAACTTAGCTAATCTTGCCTTTTTTATTGGTAATCCTTGCAACACAGGAATGAGACTATTACAAAAAGCAGACATTTCACAAATTGTTTTGTTTTTTTCTTCCATTGTCAAGATATTTCATTTGCTTTAAAAAAAGGTTACCGGATTTTTCTATAACTGATTTCCTTTTTTTATTTAAACGTACATCTTTACATTTCTCGCTTGAATCATCTGCAGGGATGGAAAGACAAGAAATAGTAGGGGAGGTTGTTTGTTCTGTGGTAAAACTAATATTACTCTCAGTCAAGTTTTTAGAATTCGTCAATTCAGTAGTCAATTTTACGTTACTCTCGGTAAATTTAAACAATTTAAAATGTATTCTACAAAAAGAGTGCTCAATGTTCTTAAAAGAACAGAGCAATTACAAATTAGTAGAAAATCACTTAGCAAAATTTTTTCTTATTTAACACTGTGTTTCATCAATAAAGACTCATCAGAAATACATCAATAAAGACTCATCAGAAATTTCTGATGAGTCTTTATTGATGAAAGTGTTAAATGAGAAAAAATTTTGCCTAGTGATTTTTTACTAATTTATATATATATATATATATATATATATATATATATATATATATATATATATATATATATATATATATATATATATATATATATATATATATATATATATATATATATATATATATATATATATATATATATATATAATATATATATATATATATATATATATATATATATATATATAAATGTATTAGGACTGTACCGGATTTCGGCTCCGGCTCCTGCTCCGGCCGAAATCCGGCCATTTTTACAAATCCGGCCCAAATCCGGCTCCGGCAAAAATTTAGCAAATCCGGCATAATTTTAGCCGGAGTTTTGAATTTTGTCAAATATTTATTACATTTTTTTTGCCCATGTTTACATGTATACCTAATATTTTATTTATAAAAATTAATTTTTTTTGTAATTCTATATTTTATGAACCTCATATTTGTTTTGGTATTTGTATTTATATTTCTTTATAATTTAATAAGCTTAGTCTAATTTCAAACAACAACGCAACAAAAAATTCTGAAGGGAAGACACACGATATTCTACAATGATGCAGGTATAAAGACTATGATGTCAACCCTAATCAAGTGATTGTATAAGCGTTTTAAAAGCATTGAAAAAAGAAACCTCTTTATATACTGACGAGGCTGGTTGACTCACAATTTAAAACTAAATTCTCCTCATTACAGGCAACACTGACAGCTGAAAAAACAAGATTGAAGTCAATCTGAGCATACTGAACAGAAAATTGACAAAACTGAAGAAAATCCACCAAAATAAGCCGGGCTTAATAATTTTTCTACATCATCATCACCATTACTCTGGCAATTTATTAATAAAATTATTCAGTCTACGTCCGCTGGTGGCAGGGCACATAAACAACAATTACTAAAAGGCATTAAAACTCAACTAAGGAAATATCCGAAAGAACCAGAAATAAATAGACACAATGATCCACTACAGTGGCGGAGTGACAAAATCCCTGAAAAAAAGTTCAACAGAATTACTATAAACTTTTAAAACATATGGCCTATAGAATTTCTTTAGAATTTCTATTAATTTATATATAGAAATTGCTATAAAACTTTTTAAATAACAACAATGAAGTTTAACAGAAAACAGCAGTCACTTGGTATTCTGAATAGTCCACATTGTTGACCATGCTCAACACCAAGTAGGGATGTACAGGATTTTGGCTCCTGTAGTTTTGTTTTGAAATCCGGCTCCGGCTCCGATTCCGGCCGGATCTGTCAGTAGAAATCCGGCTCCGGCCGGATTTGAAAAAATTAAATATATATAGCCCTAGCCCTAATATATATATATATATATATATATATATATATATATATATATATATATATATATATATATATATATATATATATATATATATATATATATATATATATATATATATATATATATATATATATATATATATATATATATATATAACAAACACAAAATAATATATATATATATATATTTGCTTGTTTTGTAACTTTCTTGATCTACTGCTTTTTGCAGCTTAACTAGGTCAACATAGAGGAGCCTGATGTAGCTCTTCTTCATTAGTTTAAATTACATTTACACTACAAGACGTACATAGAATTGTTTTGGTATTCTTTAATATAAACATGATAGTACATTGACATTATTTTAATACACACTTGAATTTATATGGACTTATTTATAATAATTTTGAAATAAATAAATTTTTGAAGTGATTAAGAACCACGGAGGACCCACCAAATAAGAAAATTAAAAAAAAATTTTTTTTTCCTTTTCATTATTTAATTTTTAAAAGTGCGTCTAACGAAAATTCGCATATGAAAAGTGCATTACTTATTTTTTTTTTTTTCTATTTTTAATGTGATATATTTTTATTATAAATACTTTACTAATAAAATACTTAATAACTAAGCTATACAATAAAAATCATATTTTTTTTTTTACCTAATAAATTTTCCATAAAAATTAAAATTTCGAATAAAAATTGTGTGCGGCTAAGAAAATTTCGTTCACTGTATATATATATATATATATATATATATATATATATATATATATATATATATATATATATATATATATATATATATATATATATATATATATATATATATATATATATATATATATATATATATATATATATAAAGTTTATACCATCTTGATGAAAAAGTTACTGAAAGCTGTTTCCATGAATTTATTTTCATATTTCTATCTTTGTAGCCTTTTTCGTTTGTGTCCCAGAGACACCGAAACTTGCGAACAGCCTCAATAAAGCTTTCTTTATCAAATCCACCTCCAATTTGATCTTCATTTTCATTATCTTCTATCAATTCTATATCCGAAATATCCATCTTTATCTTTACTATTTTTCACTTAAAAGTAATGTGATTGGTTAGTTTTAAACCGATAAATAGTTGAGGAGCGAAAAGTTAATAAACCTTCAACTATTTGCGTAGCGGTTTTTTTCGCAGCGAAATTGTTATCCCTGTATTGTAGACTCATCGAGCAGCGAAAAATATCGCCCGTCGCGACATTTATTGACTAGTGGAGAACACGGCAGTTTCGTAATGGAACATTATTCTGGGCATGCGCATTGACAAATATTTATTTGCTTAACTATTTAATAAAGATGCGAAACGCAAAAAAAACTTTTAAAAACACTTTTTTTAATAACCTAATTTTATATACTTTTTGATAAAAATGAGTAATTAAATTTTTCTATTTTAATAAATATTAAGTTATGCTAGTTTTTATAAAAAAGAAATATATAAAAAAACATTTATCCAACTTTTATAATTTCTAGAACTTTGCAGTTTCTTTAGTTATAAATATTAAGGAAGTCAGTAATTCTTAATAAATAAGTACTTAAATGAATTTTTTGAGAAAAGCTGAAATGTTTAAGAGAAAGAGTTAAGGTATTTAAAGATTCTGTCAAATTTTGAAGAACCGATTACTTTTTTTTGTAGATTTTTTGAACTTTTTTTGTAAAATAAAAATATACGTTTTCCGCCTAAAACTTCTGTAAGTAACTATGGTTACTTTCCAAGATGTCAAAGAAAACGTAAGGAATAACACATCTATCTAATCTAATGAAATAAAATATTCGTTTTTGTCTAGTAACCAAAAGATTAACTATTTATTTTATTAAATATTTATTATATTCGGAAGAAGAGTATATATATTTTTTCTTACAATAAACATTAAAATTAAGTCGTTATGCAATTGCAATCATATATACAATTATTTAATAAATATCACGAGGCTTTTCTTTTATAAGATTTTCTTTCTTGAATAGTAGGTCTAATTTCCAATGCTTCTAGGGAGTTTTTGATGTAGTGATTAGACAGAATACTTTCTAGTCTTTGCTTCCCTTTCATATGGCAAAAGGTGCTGTTCATACTATTGAATTCAGCATGCATGCTTTCTAAACCTTGCTCTCCATAAATATCGAGACCCAAACCCCAATTTCTAATAAAAACAGCACAATGACTTTCTAATAAATGCATTTTTGGCGTAATGGACTCATTCGGCCAAGTTTTACGAAAGTAACTCATTAATTCTCCAATGGCTCCTTCTAAATCCAAAATAAATAAATAAATAAGAAAACGTAAATAGAAAACAAAGAAAGAATAATTATGCAAGCAAGAGGAATTTTAATACAAGTAACATAATAAAAATATATTTCTACCTAACTCTAATAATGGATTATTATTAATTATTTCACTTGAATTCATTAAGTTGTAACATGTTGCGTATTTAAAGAACAACTCAACAAATTTCTCACTCAAGACTTTTGCCTCTATAAAAACATCTGTATCAATAAATCCAAGATCGCTTACTGTCTTAGGTATCGAATTGCAAAGATCTAGGACACTGTTTAACTAATAGATAAAAGATAATTTTATGATTTACAAAATTAGTACCTCTATGCATTACAAAACTATGTGATTGAGAAAATATTTATAAAATTCATATTTACAAGTATGCAAAAATATGTATAGAAATACCTTTAACATTTTATGAACGTGATTCCCAATAAAACATTTTCCGTGGTAAGCTTGTCTTTGAACATTAAGCCCACATAGAACTTCATCAAGTTTTTTCACAAGTGGTCCATGCGATTTTTCAAATGTTTTAGTTTTTAACTCTTCTAATTCAATAATCTATATAAAAAACAGATTTACATTAACACACACACATATAAGCATTTGCTCTTAGATTGATTTATGTTTCATTCACATAGAATTATAGAAAATTTTATTTCATTATTTCAAATATAAACTTATTATACCTTAGCATTTTTCTTCTTCATAAAATGAACTACTCTGGGCTGAAAGATTTCATATAGATATTCTTTATTTTCAGGAGAACGTAGAACTTGTATTGACATTGCTTCATGAATAAGTGTTATTTTTTCACAATATTCAGCAATAGCTTTTTCTTGTTCATATATTCTTAACTGAATTACAATATATTCATCAAAACTCTTGTTGTTTAGTCTGATTTTTTAAACACATTTTAGCTGCAATTTTTATATCTATGAGATGACAGCCATCTTCCAGCATATTAAAAAATTTAAGATAAATCCCCAATGAGATATGCAACAATGGAATGCCAACCTAGATTCATAAAATCAATATAAAAAAATATTTACAATTATATAAACAAGTAAAAATGTAATATAATAGAAAAGTGTAATACTTGTGTTAAAGGAATATTGAAAAGTGGAGAATCAATGACATTGTTACAATACTTTGCTAACTTTGGTATTCGACCTTTTTGAATGAATTTTTGGAGATCTGTGTTTCCAGCGTGCGATTGGAACAAGGACTGTGTTTTTGTTGAATATCTGACTTTTTCATACCTGCACGAGTTATATGACAAAACAAGCAAGCATGTCAACCTAATATGATAATATCAGTTTAAATATAGGATATCAAAAGTCATAAAATGTCACTAAATAATATAAACATCAACTTCAATAATTTTATATTGTGGTTATGTGGTTTTGTTTGTTGCACAATTTTATTATTTGAATTTATACCATTTGCACCAGTAATTCCATATGCTGAACATAAAAACTCGTAATCACCAAAGATAAATACTCTTATTTTTTTCTCACTAAAAATAATTTTTTTCAAAATGACTGCAATTGATTAATTTGTTGTGTGAACATTGAGAGACCCACAATAAGGTTTGGTTTGTATCCTTTTGCTTCAAAAATACTAAAAAGATTTGTGTTTCTTCTGGAATTCGGCTTATCAACATTCACAATTTGATAACACATCTTAAAAGATCCACCGCCATAGTCACCACCAATTTTGATGTGAATTTCGTCATTTTTTATATTGGAATGCTTTAGCAAATTTTTGCTGCTCAATTTTAAATGAATTTAATTTTTTTTTTAGAGAAAGTAAATAAAATATTAATAAAAAATATATAAAATGACAACATTTAAATACACACTTATTTAAATAAAATACTATGTATACCTTTTCAGAAGGTTGAGTTTGTTTATTATATGTAATGGAAGATCTTTAATGTATCCCCAAGGAGCATTTTTTACTTCAAATGAATCACTGGAGTCTTTTAAAAGAAAGTTAAAAGGAGCATTACAAACTACCCAATCCTCTCCAGACCAGGATTTAGCTACTTTCCGTTGCTTTTTATTTGATGCACATTCTATATCTTTGGTTTTGAGCCATCTAAATAAAATTTTAAATATATATATATATACTTTTTATTAATTCACACTTTCATTTTAGCTTGATTAAGGTTCGTATATATACATACATATATATATATATATATATATATATATATATATATATATATATATATATATATATATATATATATATATATATATATATATAAAATTTACCTTGCAAGTATCTTAATGTTTGAATATGTTATTCCCATATGAGCTTTCATACTAATCATTTCTTCAGCACTTATAACTGATAAAGGTATGTCTGACATCTTCAATATTTTTACTTGATCTTTTACTTCAAATGAATTCAAAATAGCAGAAGTTTGCTGAAGTTGTGATGTGCTGGACATACCAGAGATCACATTTAAAGAATTTATAACGGCTTTTTGTCTTTTCTTAATTGTCCTTTTACTAACATCTGAGCACTCTTTATATGCTATTGAGTTGGAAGTAAAATGTAAAGGCTAGAAAAAAGTTTTAATAATTATAACAAAACATAATATAGTTCATTTTCTTTTGCTACATATTAAAAATGTGCTTACCCTTGGTCCTCTGGAAGGAAATGCAAACAAATTTGATTCAGAGGTAACTAGCTTTTGCTTTATAACATGTAACGCAGCATCTTCTACAATCCGTGGTATAGCATCATTTTCTTTTAATAAAAATACATCAGCTAGAGTTGTATCAAGTCCATCATGAATTTTTTTGCAAATCATAGTTGGTAATAGCTGTTCACCAATACAAATTTCTTCGTGTAATTTTTTAAGGTCATTGTCTTTAACTGCAAATTTTAATTTACATTTCTTATTGCAACCTAAAAGAATGTGCTCTATCAATAGTGTTACATTAACAGAATTTAAAATTGTATATAATGGAATGTGTTGATTACAAATAAAGCATTTTGCTTCTGTTTCCAGCTTTCCTTCAATCTCTCTGAATAAACACTCTGAGCAAAAAGAATGCTGACACTCTTTTAATATTAGTGGCTTATACATAATGTTGTTGCATAACTGGCATATACATAAGTCTAAATGGGGATTTGCTACAGGATCAATATCGATTGCATTTAAACGCAATGTTTGTTTTGGTATACTAGCAATTAAGTTATTAATGATTGGCCTGGTCCATCTCTTCTGATTTTGTTCTATTATACCTGGCCGACCAGCTTTACATTTTTAACTTTCCTTCCAGAAACTTTGGAGAAACAGGAACACTTGTCTGGACATGGTGATGGCCATTTTACTACCTTTTTCAATGTTCCTCATAATGATATAGCACCTCCTACACATTTTTTGTGGGTGAATATTTTTATTGTCTATGGTGGTGTTTATATAAAAAGTATTTTCAATTCTTTCAGAATATTTACACACATCAACTGAGTCTTTTGTTGTATGTTCTCCACAAATTCGGCAAATGAGACTTAACTTGGTTAAATGGTCCATGTTTACAAAATATCTAAATATAGCAGTTATGTAAAATAAATAAAAAATTAGCGAAAAAAAAAATAATCGGTCTCCAAAATTAAGTTTAAAGGAAGAACAATAAACTGATGAAAACAAAAATATTTACTTTCAGATACAGAAAATTCGTTTGATTATAACATAGCTGATTACAAAATAAAAAATTTTAAGAACAATATTTTACCATTTGATTTAAAAGTTTTTGTTGAAAACCCTAATTTCAACAACAAAATTTATAAAACAATGTTTTATCAGTTATCTCTGAAACAAATCGCTTTGGTTTGGAAAAAATTTAAAATATCAAACATTAAAAAAATTAAGTTGCAGTAGCTGAGCTTTAGAAAGAAATAATTTAAAAACCATTGATTTCTCATATTTTATAAGTGTTGATTGCGCATGCTCAGAATAAAGTTCCAATAAGTATCAATTTGAAACTGCCGTGAGAACCGCCTTTAAGCATATTGTTTTTAAAGTAACAAAAAACAAAATTCTTAACCTGGCGTTCTTATTAATTTTATATGAACTTAGGGGTCGTCCATAAAGTATGTCACGCTATTTTTTTCAATTTTCAACCCCCTCCCCCCCTCCTGTCACAAACTGTCACATATTTCTGCACCCCCCCTAAAAAAGTATGTCACATGTTTCTCCCCCCCCCCCCTCCCTCTAAAAAAAAAAACAAACCATTACGGAATTTTCAACATTCTAAAAACATAGTAATAGCTATTTAACAGAATAAAAAAGACTCAATTTAACTAATTTGAAATACCTTCTTAATTTATTGGGAAAGATTGTCATCATAAAATAAAATAAAAATAGTTTTTTTATTTGAACCTTATGTTTTTCAAATTACAAATTAAACTTACTCCTTATAAATACTCCTTTAATTGAATGAGTAAATAAGTAGAAAATAATCATGATAAATAATTTTTGTGATGTCACATTCGTCAAACTCCCCCCTCCCCCCTTGTCACAAATTGTCACAAACTTATGCCTCCCCCCCCCCCCCTAGTAGCGTGACGTACTTTATGGATGACCCCTTACTCTGAAAATTGGCTAGCATGAGTAAATTTATCAAACAAGGGGCAAGACTTATATAAAAAAATGACCAGACTTATATTTGAACTAAATCGAGAATTTACAAATATAAATTTTCACACTGTCAATTACGAAAGTTACACTTCATAAGAATGTTTATCTTCAAGTGGCCACACAAAGATAAACCTTTTTGTGAAAAATTCTACATAGAGTTAAACCTGCTATTCGTTCTTGCAGCAACAGTTTTTAATAGAAATTTTCATATTAGAGTTTAGCATTTATTTTCTTATACTTCCTTGTAAAAAAAACCTTATATTAAATGATTACATTACAAAATAATATCACATCTTACATATAAAGGGAGAAATGTTAATATTAATGCACGGAAAGAAATTTTTACATGCTTCAAAGTAGAAAGTATGCTAAAAAAAGTATCAACTGCCTTTAGTTAAACATACAGCGTAAACTTATTGCTGCCGTTTTTCTTGTTCACAACGAAAAAAAAGTAGCGCGAAAGAAAGTAAGTGGAAATCAAATCAGCGCACAGTGACTCAAAACAACAAAAAAATGGCAATAAACCCCTCACCACTTTTTTATAAATTAAGTGCCCTTTGTTAGATAATATTAAAAGACAATGATTTTTTATTTCAAAAGTAAAAATAATTTTTTCATAAAGCTTTTATTTTGTATTTTATAGGTAAAAGAAGTGAAACAATTTGATATTATTTTTAAAGAAATCTGAAATGTTTTTATTCAACTAAATTAGAGAACTTGAAATTTAAATAAAAGTGTATATTTATTTTTAAAATAATGTTTTGACTCTATATATTTCAAATATACTAAAAAGAAAAAAAAAAGTCTGATTTTTTCGTTTAAATCTAAAGACTTCTCTAAAAAAAAGTAGAAAATAATTGTATTTTTTTGTTTATATATCAGCTAAAAAAATGTTCCACCGAGTTCCACAAATATATATATACATATTTTTTCCAGTTAATTAACATTTCTACTTTAGGAATGTAAAAGGATTACTGCGGTCTCCTGCGGTCTCCTGCGGTATTGGAAGTTATTAAAGAAAAACAAATGTTGATGATTTTATAAAAACCTTGTTTTGCGCCATTTTGCTAAGAACTTTATTATATCAAAACAAATGAAATTGGCGGGAAACTTAAAGTTAAGTTTCTTGCTTGTAGAACTTGTTCTAATATAGTTTTTAAATCATAAATATTAAATATAGTTTTAAAAAACGTGCTTTTGTCATTATATACTATTTAAAAGTTTGTTAAAATATTTATTGACAATTTTAAAGAACGATTTATTATTCGATAAGTACAATATGTTTGAAAAAGCTTAATTGAACAACTTTGGTATTTACCGTTTCAAGAAATACCAAATTGTTACATCCTGTAATAACACATATTACTTAGTTAACTTTATATTACATGTAATTTAAAGTTAACTAAGTAATATGTGTTATTAATAAGTTACTTAGTTAAATTTATATTACAATGTAATATAAAGTTAACTAAGTAACACATATTACTTAGTTAACTTTATATTACATGTAATATAAAGTTAACTAAGTAATATGTGTTATTACAGGATGTAACAATGTGAAAATTGTTAAAAGTCATAACAAGATAAAATTTGAAACAGTGTAAAAAAAAAAATATTTAATGTAATTTAAAATGTGCCTAATATATTAGTTTTATTATATTGATGGTTCTTAAAAACGATAACAATGAAAAGATTAGATCTTATCCCAAATATACGTGAATTAGGGGTTGATAAATTAAAATTATATAAGGATTTACTTAATAAAATAAAAAATACTGAAAAAATTCTCAAAGAAAACTTAAATAAAGTTAAGCTTGCTTTAGTTATATTTATTTCAAATGTGAAGAAAAAACTAAAACAATGTGGACGAAACATTTATACAAAAAGAAAATCTTTGGCTTCAAAGAAATCTTATGAACAATAAAAATAGCCATTTTGGTTCTGGAAGGCCCCATAAACAATGGAATGTTCTTGGAGAGAGAAGCAAAAGAAAAAAAATAAAAGAACTAGCCACTGAACATCATGAAGCTCTATTTTTAGCTTCTGCAAAAAGTGCAAATGCTGCTGGAGAAAAAAAAAGCCTCTGTTTTAAAAAACAATATATCTAATGTTTTAGAGATAAAAAAAGTTGATAAAATTTTGGATAAAATTTTTCCCATTAACATGAGTGTAGAGGATGCTCTTAAAAATTAATACTGATCTAAGCGATAAACAATATCAAATGATCAGAAACTCAGCTCTTGTACACAACGTACATATTTATCCTACCTTGCACAATATTTTCGTGGAAAAATTGAAATGCTATCCTGAGAATATACATTTTTCTGAAATTTCTGCAAAGTGTACTCTTCAAAGCATGTTAGATCACACTGTGAGTAGAATAACAGAAACGATTGATATGCCTAATTTTGGTCAAAGTGATGAAATATTTGGAGTTTTATATGGAAAGATTGGTTTTGATGGAGCATCAAGCTAAAGTATTTATAAACAGAAATACGATACAAGCAACGCAAGTATAGAACTTAAGCATGAAGAAAATCTTTTCAGTACAGCTTTTGTGTCTTTATTGCTCAAAGTCCTTCAAGCTGTCACTTTTGTATCCTTCAAGCTGTCACTTTTGTAGACCTCTTCATCTACAATATAAAAAAGAGTCCAATTTTATCCAGAGAAGAAGAATCAGATCTAAAAAATTAAATAAATACCTTAAAGACGTTTTGCAAAGTTTTTAATATTGCAGGAAGAATTTTGACATTTAATATCAGCTATAGGATTGATCTTACAATGTTTGATAATAAAGTAGTTAGCGCACTTACAGAGACAAAATCCACTCAATCCTGTAATGTGTGCAATGCTAAACCCAAGGAAATGAACAATATTGATTTATTAAAAGCAAAAACTGAGAATGACTCGGCCTTGGGGCTCGGAATTTCAGCTTTGCATTGCTGGATAAAATGCTTGGAGTTCATTCTTCATTTGAGTTATAAAATTGAAATTAAAAAGTATAAGCCAAAAACAATTGAGGAAAAACTATCTGTAGACTTAAAAAAAAAAGAGATTCAGGTACTCTTCAGAGAACGGTTAAGCCTATACGTTGATATGCCTAAAACTGGGTCTGGAAACACGAATGACGGCAACACTGTAAAAAGAGCATTTAAAAATAGTGAAGTTTGAAATTACTAAAGTTGATTGTGATATAATTAAAAGATTGCATAATATTTTCATAACCATATCTTGTGGATATCCTATTAATATCAATGAATTAGATTTATACTGCACTGAAACAGCTAAACGTATAGTGAGTTTATACAACTGGTATGTTATGCCTCCTACTGTACATAAACTGCTACTGCATAGTTCTTCTATATCAAATAAATTACCTTTGCCAATCGGGGTATATTCGGAAGATGCACTAGATAGTTTAAATAAACTGATAAGAAATTCTAGACTTAAGCACACGGCAAAAATATCAAGGTTAAACACAATGATGAATCAGATGCACTACCTTCTAGTAAGATCAGATCCAAAACTATCAAGCATATATTTTGGAAAACATAAGAGCTATTGAGGAAAACCGTTACTAGATGAAGTTTTTAAATTAGTTGTAATGTAAAT